TGCCCAGCACCTGGGAGCACCTCTGGGATTCAGGACCTGCCTTCTGCTTTATTACTAAACATCAGCCATAAAATCTATCCCAGGTCAATATTCAGTCTTTGCACTTGAGACTGTAGTGGCTCAGGAAGAGGAACTGCTCTGCAGTGTTAGTATTGCCTTCCCAGATGAACCACCTCTCACTGTCTGGCTTAATTTTTGAATTTACCAGTGTTTTGGGGGTTTTTTTGCTCCCACTCTGCAAGTGTAGAGACGGAACTATGAGATCTTCAAATGCATCTTTTCTTGGCTGGAGAAGGAGAACTGTGGGGATGCTAAAACCCCGCGGCCAACGCGAAGCACACCGGGAAGGCTGGGTCGGTCGCTGTCCCTCCACAACCCATATTCCTCCCCTGTGTGATGTGGCATGCTAACCACACCACAACTTCAGCAGCTCCCATCACACATTCCACAGGGCAGCTGGAGGAGCACTAAAATATGTTTTTACCTTTTTCTCCAAGGTCTCTCTATTTCGGTTCCTTTAGCATTTGCAACTTGTCCTGCCATAGACTTGGGACAGGCAAACTCAAAGCATCATGAAGTCCCTGGGGCACTTCCCCTTGCCCCTGCTGGCTTTGGGATGTCCCTGTGAGAACCACTTCATCCCTCAGCTGCTCCTGCCCACGTGCACCGCAGAAGTAGACTAATGGGTTGAGGCCAGAGGAAAAAGTGCCTCCAGGCTCTGCAGAGGTGCATTACTGCTCCGAAGCATTTCCCTCAAGCAACACCTATGCCAAAAGTAAGGATGCAAATTCAAGTCTGTAGAAGCAAACCAGAGTTTATTTAGCATTTATTTCCCATTCTGCTGTCATATGCATCTTCTTCTGTCTCCATTTTCCTCTGGTAAACGTAAACCTTTTTTAATTATTTTTTAATAAAATATATAAAACATTGTGCATTGCTATTTATAGGAAAAATGTAGTTTAACAACAAAAGAATAAGGCACAGTCCTGTGCAGCATCTTCAAATATATATATATATATATATTTAGAACAAAACAAACAAAAGAAAACCCTTTTCAACCTCTTTGAGGTTGTTAACATCTCACCAATCACTGACACATCTCTTATATTGCCATAATTTCACTGTTGGAGGTGGGTTGTTTGACAGGGGCCAGCAGGGAGAACGGACTCAAAAAAAATAAAACAACAAAAAAGGATTTTATCCCTGAGGTGTCAGTAAAAAAAAATGCTCCCATTGAAAAGGAAGATGAAAAGACAGCCATAAATAACTGCATACACTATGGCAAACATCCAAGCACCGAGATGATTTCACGATGGAGGAATCCCCTCACCCACTTCCCTCCCTCCCCAGCCCAGTTCTTAACAAATTCCCCATTTTTTAACAAGTCATATTTGCTGTTGGGTTTTAATTAGGTTAATCTCATGGCTTCTGAAGTCACAAGACAGTTGGTCAGGATGTACCTCCCTCTCCCTTGCCAAATCATTTTCCAGACCTGAAGTTTTGCTCACAATTATCCCAAAATCCTCAGGAAAAGGAGACCAAAAAAATCCCGAATCAGAACCAAAACCTGGCTGACTTCTCTCCCCATCCACGAGAGGAGCAATTGTACCGCAGCACGCCAGACTCAAAGCCCCACGTGGGAGGACATAAATGTCACCTTCCTGCCTACCACCAAGAAACAAAGCTGGTGACCACCTCTGCTGCAACCAGAGAGTCTCCGCGAAGAGGAGCGATAGCAACGTCAGGGAAGAGGAGAAGGAGAAAGCTTTATTGCTGTCCATCCATACGGCACTGCGCAGCGCTCCTGAAAGGAAAGGGGGGGACACCCACGCACTGCTCCTCTCCTCCCTCCGCTCCGTATCGCGCGTGGGGATGTCCGGCTGGCCGTTCATCCAGATCTCCCGGATGATGCGCTCCCGCTCCTCCAGCCGCTGCGCCCGCTCCAGCTCCTCGGCCGAAGTGAAGACGTTCATGTTCAAAGTCCTCTCGAACCGGCGGTGCCTGCGGGCCGACAGGTCCGACGTGGTGTCCGAGTCGTCGTCGCTGTCGCTGCTGTCGCTGTCGCTCTCCCGCTCCCGCGGGGGCTTTTTGGCGGGGGAGCGTTTGCAGTCCGTCCGGCAGGACACGCGGAGCACCAAGGCGAGTAGCGTCAGGACGAGTCCAATGCACACACCAGAGACGAAATACAGAGCAGCGCGCTCCGGGTTCTCTGCAAGGGGAGAGAATACGATTATCAGAGGCAAAAATCCCTCAAAGCACACGCAGGTTCCCTGTGCAAGTACCTGCAAAGCCCTCTGGAGAGTTTCTAATGGTTCCTTCTGCTTCCAAGCCTTCCATTGCTCTCTCCAGGGAAATCAGAGAGTGGATTTGCTGCCAAGTCATTTACCCTCATGTGGAGTGTGGACTAGCAGCAGTTATGTCTTAGGGTTGTCTAGAATGGAAAGGAGCAGCCCACAGAATTAAATGCTGATTTCTGCGGCGGTGCAAGCAGGATTGAGATGAGGATGCTGTACACTCAGCAACAGCTAAGTGCACCTTTCTGCCACATCCATTACCATTGTACAAGGAGTGAAGACGATTATAAAGCTTTATGCACTCTCTCAGATGTCGCCAAGCGAAATGGCAAGCCTTGCAGCATGGAAAATTGCATATTATTTATTCATAGGTTTGATTTGCTTATCTAGGCAAGTGAGCTGGCTTTCTGCCCAGACCACCAAAATGTATATCTGCACTACGCAAGCATAGCTGGAGTTAGTACACTAACAGGATGGATCCTGCACAACAACATTTCAGAGGTGATATAACAAGACTCCAAAGGATCCACAATTCCTTTTAAACTAGGTCATCTTGTTTATTTGCTGTCCTGCTTTTTTGGTTCATTGGACTTCTCAGAAAAGTAATTATGATAAACAATTTCCCTGGGCTGAAGCATCTCAGCACATTCCACGGTTATAGTTACACCAAAAGGGAGAAGATGAATCAAGTACAAGTGCCAAGGCTCTCTGCACTCCACTGTGTCTGGTGGAAGTCCTGAAAGGAAGTCAAGATTGGGTCTGGTTCCTCAGATGTGTCCAGTACCCTCGAGCTTGGTGATGGACCCATAAGAGTTCCCAGCAGCTGAGAACAAGCTGAGAAAGATCCATGTGACTAAATAACTCCACTCTTCTTTTACTTTCTCTACTGTGTTATAGAACTTGCCTCCTCTGGCTGGTACCCTTAAAGGGAAGTTTGCAGAAAATGAACTGGGAACTATCTGAATATATTAAAAACTCAGCAGGATATGACATTAAGCAACCTCCTCTACCTTAAAAGTTGGCTCTAAAACTGAAGTTAGTTCTGTTCTGATTGGAGAGTGGGACCAGGTGACCTCAGAGGCCCTTTCAGGCATAAATTATTCCACACTTCTGTGGTCAGAAGCTGAACACTGATCTGTGTGCACAGTTCAAGGCTCTGAGAAGGTAACTACCTGGAGATGCTTGTGGCACAGTCACAGGCGGTTCCTTTTTTGCTCTGCACATTCTCTCTATCCAATGGGATCTAAGAGGTGACCGACAGGCCAAAGGCAAGGGAGATGCTGTGCAAGTCTCAAATCTGGTTAAGCAAACATGAGACTGTCCCTTAAGTGGTTAGATCAGAGGGTATAAGTTAAAAAACAAAAGCCTAAAGAGGGACTACAAAAGAGGGAGTAGAGAACTGCAGCTGATGTGTTCAACAAGCCCTTAAAAAAGAGAAAAGAAATGAAGCAGTAGCTGGAAAGGGAAGTGAGGCTAAGGCTTTAAGTTAAAATGTTTCAACAAGAAAGAGCCAGCAAATAGTCAAAAGTAAAGGAGAAGAGAAGGAATGAGGATGGCGTGATGGATGTGCCAAGAGCTCTTGCAAAAGTCTAGTTGACTAAAATCCTGGATCCACAGAAATTAAGGACAATGCTGCATGCAGGGCACTGAACCTTTTTGAAAACTGCAGCCAAAATGCAGTACCAAAGACACTGTATCTGGTCCTATGCAAACAGAGTGATCTCAATTCCAGAGATTCAGAAACTCCAGGAAAATTGGAAGCATCCCTGATACTGTTTTTACCACCAGGCGCAATATAAACCAGGGCACTAATTGCAGAGCTTTCTTTACAAATTGGTGTAAGAAAGGCTCCAAGGACACCCAAAATGGGAACAGCAAATGAGCGGGACTGGTCTATTTGCCATGGAAGACACTCAGTCCAGGGTGTCTCCTCTCGCCTGACTGGGATGCCAGGCACTTTTCTGAGCACCACATTCCTGCACACACATGGGCTTGATTTGCTTGTGTTAGTTCCACTCCTCACTCTTGTAAAGCAACTCATAAAAAAAAGAGAGAGAGAGACTGGAGCCTGAGACACAGGCACATGTGGTTTCTCTTCCCCCATTTTTGTCCATGTCTCCCTTTTCCCGTCCTGCACATTCGCTTTTCCCTGTCACTGTACGCAGCGCATGAGCAAGCTGCAGCTCAATTGCTAGTTAAGCAAACATTTTTCATAACCAGCTTGTGCCTGTATCCAGAGTCTTTCGCTCAGTGAGACGGCTGTAATTGAATCTTTGGGCTCTACTGGCATTTATGAGCTCCTACAGCTACTCTGTCAACATCTGAGACACTGCCTGGCCTTCTTCACCGAGCTGTAACCCTACGTTCAACCGCAGTCTTGGCATTTATCTTACATACAACCTACTCGCAGAGCAACATCTCTCCGCGCAACCGAAAGAGCAACTTAAGCTAAAAATCAGTGGCTCTGTTTTTTCTCACTTGAAGTAGCCAAGTCAGCAACAACCTGAATTTGGGATTTTGACATCTGATTAGTGGTTTAGCGAGACTCCTCCACCACATCTCATACTTGTAAAGACCAAAAAAGAGGCCTTCTCTTTAGAAAACAAATGCCAAGCATCTTCCAAAAACTTGATGGTGTTTCAGACACTAAAGCACCTCAAAACACTTGTTACACTGGGAAATACTCTTTAAAGGAATATGTATATCAGTAGAAGGAGTTAACATAGTTTTGATATGCATGCATATGTGTACACTATTGTACCCTTTAACACATAGGTTTTCACCAGTATAGCTTTTTTTTCCCCCCACTGTTGTGGATGACAACACAGAGCTAAACTTTTAGCAGAATCAAACTGCTGTCTATCTCTTTAGCTGGGGTTACCTTTCTCCTTGGTATTTTTCTTTCTGGACCAAGATCACTCATGAAAATGTCACTGATTCAAGCCTGCATTTAATCCATGCACACAAAAGATATATGTTTTTTTATAACCCTTTATACAAAAGCTACCACTTTCTAGGCATTCAAACTGCCCCAAAATTAGAAACACATTTTATTTTGTTTTCCCAACCAAAGCAGCAGCAATTACGGTGCCTGTTTCCTGAGGGCTAACAATCTGCTGGGAGCATCGGCCCAGACTGCCATTAATTCCCCAGGAAATGCCCCAGGCCAAGGTTGTTATTGCTATTATAATAAATTGTTTCAATAAATAAAAACCAATCTAGGCATTAACGAGGCTAGCTTCCTGTGATGGCTTCATACATTCAGAAACCTGAGTGGGGAGGGGAATTTCAGAGGGCCTCAGTAAAAGGTTCAGCATTAAGCATAGCCAGACAAACAGTAGGAACAATCTCTTCTAGAGATTTTACACTTAGCCCCAGAGGCTGCTGAAATCCCCTGGTAGAATAGAGGAAGCTCTCCAGGAGCCCCTTATTAATAAGGCTCAGACCAAGCAGTCTGAAAACTGGAATGAGGTCCCCCTGGGTTGTTCTTTGGAAGCCCCTTGTTAATAGCTTGGCAGCCTATCTTTGATTTGGGGAGGATAACAGAGATTCATGGAGATTTTCTTCCTACTCTTTTAGCGTGAATGCAATAACAGAACTGGAGTAGGTCCCTCTGTCCAAAGGAAGGCATTAGAAATGCTCTGATATGACTTGGCTGCTTAGTATTGATACAAACACAAGGCACAGTTCTGTTCTTGCTGGTTCATTGTGCCTCTTGACTGAGATCAACAGAGTTTTTCCAAACCACCAGAAAGGCTTTGGATTAGGTCCCTAGGTAAAAATCAGGCTTGAGGTTTACAGGCAAAGACTGCATATAGTTAAAAACTTAATTCTATAAGGATCATAACTTTCAAATTCAGGGCATCCCTGAGTCCTCTGTAGGACTGAGCCCTAAATCAGACTTCTCTGTTTGGTCCCCTCACCTGATAAATTCGTTCCCCATTGACATACTTTTCATTATTTCTGAATAAATACTGTTTTCAAGGTTCTGAAAGCTGTGAAAAGACTAACAAATAGCTGGCTTTAATACTCCTAACTACAACATCAGCTACTTACAAATTTGCTGGTGAAAGACTACACTGCTGCAAAGAGGCTTTGCTTCCTGTTGGGCTGTGATTTTTTCACTCCTTGGTTGTCAACAGAAACATTCCCAACTTTTATATGGAGATTTCAGCCAAACAGATGACGGAAATAAGCACGGAGTCTCTCTCTAATGTAGCTCCTTCTCCACTCAGTGTGCTGCAAGACCCTACACGTGCTAACAGTGCAAGGGATAAATGCCTGCAGGCTCTTTACCTTCTGCTGCCCACCCAAACCTCTTGTTTTGAGAAGTAATGTTCACAAGAATGAAAGAGATTGGTTTCTGGATGTTCTCCATAGACTGAGAGGCACCCCACAGTCTGGAGGCATAAGGAAGAGGAGAGTGGATCGTCATTTCAAGGGTGCCCTCGACCCATGGAATACCAAGTGCCTGTAACTTCCTTTTCCTGGAGTGGTCTGAGGGCAGACGGTATCCTCTGCCCACATAGAAAAATACATCTTTACATATTGCCTTTGCCTGCTTACAAATTTCTCCTGCACACTGCTGTTTTGAGCCAACTCCCCAGCACAGGGAAATTCTGAATAGAGTGGTTTCAGTATCCAACTTTGACTTCAGGGACTTTCTGGTGCTGGGAGACAGAGAAGCCTTTGCACTAATGTTTCCCTTTGGCACAGAGGCTGTGGCCAGGAGCAGTGAGAAGATGTGTGAACCCACCCTCCCTGGTCGTCCCAAGCCCTGACTCTCCTGAGCCACCAGAACAGCTTCACTGTGGACATCAGCAGCTACTGTGGCTTAAGCTGCCTTCAGAGCCCCAAATTCAGACAAACACAAAAATTTCCGAGTGTTTGGTTGCTCAAAATCTGCAAGAGGATGGGCGAGAGCTTTGCAGTGCTCTAGTTTTATGCAGATGATATTTGTGCCCTGTGACACAGCTTGTCTTTGAACACATCATCTAAACCCTCTTCACATTCACATATAACAAAATAAGCCATGCCAAATCCATCCTCTCCATTAAAAGCTGAAGGCTAAATTACACATAGCAGATAAAGATGTTTTAGGGCATCTGTTCTTTCAATCCCTGAGGCAGCCATTATTTTTTGTAATAAGAAACAAATGTAACATATATGTCATTGAAACTAAAATTCATCTAAAAGTCATGCTCCAGTCCACTGGAAAACACTAACAACAAGGTTCTGAACTAATCACTGGATATTAAGGTTGTGATATCTGAGCTTTACCTATTTGACATGCAGAAGATCTCATCACACCGCTGGGAGACCACACGGTGAAAGGGCAAGCAAATCCCACACCAACAGCACAGTTAAAGCTGTCATTATTTATTATTTGTGTCGCAGTAAAATCTAGAGTCTCCTGCCAAGACTGACGCCTTGTAAAGGGGATGAATCGAGGCCTTTGTGCCCTACCAAACAAATAAAGGGTCAAAGACTGCTACTGTGATAGACAGAAGCAAAGTCCATGGGGCACAGTCAGCAGTCCTGAGTATCAGTCCCAACTGTCCCTACAATTTCTCCTGCAATCTTCTGCTACCTATTACTGTACTGAAAAATAATGTTTACAGCATTTTATTTTATTGTAAGCTTGGGAATTAAGATGTCAAAAATAGCAGTTGCAGATAAGAGAAGGGAAAATATGACAGAAGATTGATTCAAAATGTTTTTCCAAAAGCGCTTGCAACAGAAATATATGACCATCATTTGTGAAGAGCATTTGTGAAGAACATTACTTCCATTAAAGCTGTCTGCTTCTTGAAGGTGACACAAAAAGCCAGGTTTTCATGCCATCATTAGACATGTGCAGAGGCAGAACCTTGGGTTCACCATTATAGGATTTTTCAGAGGGAACCTCCTCTAAAGGTTTTGGAATGTTCTTTCTAACTACTGACCACTGCCAAAATGCAGTGGGTGGTTTCAAATCTAAATGCTTGTCTGCAGTACCATGGCAGTAATCTGAGCAAGTGCATGTGCCTGACATCAAGAATTCATTAGTATTTAATGAACAAGCAAACCAAATGGCACTGTGGCTCACAAGTACAGGAGCTTTAGTTATATCGACCCCAATGCAACAGAATCTCCTAATTTAATTAGTGTGGTGCTAGCAGACTTACTGCAGTATACACAATTATTTGCAGCATGGAATGGAAGAGTAAAATATTAATATTACTGGAAAGGTGCATGCAAATATTTCATTAAACAAATGAAGAACAGCTTTCAATTCCATAAAAAAAAGTGACTACAAACAGCATTTCTTGCCTTTGGAGACTAGTTACAGAGAAAGTAGGACCCTCCTTCTCAGTTAAGCAGCAGAGATTGGCCTAAATCTGCTGAATTAGTACAGCTACTGCTACTTAGCCTGCACTTCTCTTTCCTTAGGGTAGGCTCTTCCAACTCTTATCGGCAATCCCTACTGGTGACAAGGTCCCTAATGTAATTGCAGGTGGGAAATCACTGCACATCATCTGTCTCTGCTGGGCTTCTTGCTACCAGCGGCACTGACCTCAAGCACTGAATAAGGGGCAGAATCTTTATGTCAAAAGCAACCTTTTTAAAGCAAATTTAAATAGAAGACAGCTCCTCTGCTACTTGAAAGGTACATGTGGGTGAAAGATAAACTGTGATCCCAGGAAATCTTACTCCAAAATAGATTTAAATATACAATTAAGCAGACTCTCCAGTTACTTCATCTTCACACTTCTACTGAAGATAAGCCAAGTTCTCTTAAACAGAGTAATGCTACTCATTTTCCAAATTACAGGACAACAAGCTTGCCTCTCTAATGAGCCAGCCTTTGATCTCCAGGAAAAAGGAGCATTAGGAATAATACCACATGTAAGATTACACTCTATTTAACTTTATACAAGAACAAGTCCAGGGAAAAGCAGCGCACAGTAAACCCTGCTGTATCCTATCGACCAGAGCTGCTCCGGTCAGGTCTTCCAAGGCAGATGTTGCTGAGAGACAAATGAAAAAACACAAACAGTTCCCGAGGGCAAATTGAGTCCTAGGTGAGGCTGACGTGTAGACCCAACGGAGGGTCTGCAGAGCTTGTGAGAGCCAGGGGGGCTGCAGCCACCAGACCTACCTGTGATGAAGGAGTAGGCTGCGAGGATGTTGCTGAGCAGTGCCATCTCCGTGCTGACGCCCACGGGCTCCATGCTGCCGTTGAGCGCTGGCGGTTGTGTCTCATCCACGGGAAGCAGGGACGGGGTGAGCTCTGGAGGGTAGAAGGAGGCCGATCTCCCTTTCTTCTTCTCTGCTTTGGAGCGGAGAAGGGATGAGGAATGAGGCACGTGCCCTAGCCCTGTGCTGCCCTATCAGCATCTGCTCAGCAAAAAGCCACCCAGATTCCCCCTCTTTGGCAACGAATTTTTCTGAATTGGAGCTGAACACATGCAGTGTTTGTATCCAGACAGCATCTTCTCTCCCCCCGTCTCCAGCTCTTTCATGTCACCACTTAGACACACCCACCTACAGTACAGCAAATATATAATCAGGTTTCTTTTCTCTTATGTAAATCAAAGGAGCTTTTATCAACGGTGAGTTCAGCAAAGCTTGTAATAACTCGGCACACCGGCTCGGAAAGCACAAGCAGAATCGGCAACCCCGGGCCGGTGTTTCACCACCTCTGCAGCGATCCATGCACACCTGGCAAACAGAGCTGCTTTCTCTCCAGCCTTCGCAGGGAAGGGTGGATCTGGGTTTATGACTTCCTTCAGAGCCCGCTCGCATTGTGTTTCACCCAGACACCATATCCCCTTCGGAGAGGTGAGCACGAGTTAATGATTTGATTTTATTTGTCGAAGACTGGAGCTGAGAAGGCAGCTAATTCCAGGAGGCTCAAAGAGACCCTTTCAGACCTTATCAGCTCACTGCTGAGTACTCCCTGCACCTTGCTCTGCTGGCAGACACCCCCACTACCCACAAAAAACTAATTGTTTTAAACACACACAAAAAAATCGGTGCCCAGGATCCAGATCCATCATCCATGTGATTGTTTCACTGCAGCTATTACACATTTTCCAGCTTCCTTCCCTGGGATCTGCTTCTGGCCAAAAAGCAAAGCACCATAAAAATCACAGAATTGCACCTGGCTCCCACTTATCTGCAAGTATTAAATTCAGGAAACTGTCAGGTCCGTCTCATACGAGAGACAGAGGCACCTTGGGGACGCCTGTGCTCTCTGGCTGCCCGGCCCGCCTGCTCTCCCGCAAGCCCGGCACAGCGAGCCGCCACGTTCAGCTTCATGCATGCCAGGAAGCGGCTCAACCCCTGGAAACGAGTAACAGGCATTCAGGGGTGTCAAAGAGAACAGGTAAAACTGGATGGAGAGGGCTGGAGAGCGGGAACGCGCGCGCGGCAGTGCCAGCGGCGGTGATGGATGTCCAGGTGCTACCGCAGACGTTAGCCCCAGGCGACGCGGGCGCTGTCCTGCGGCTGCCACCCAAGAGCCGCGTGGCCTTGGGAAAGCCACACATTACAAGGCACCCAGGTGTTTGTAACCAGCCCCCAAGGAAAGCTTTCTGGGGTGGATGACTCGGTGGCAGATCCAAAAGGGAGAAATGTCCACAGAACCTGAGAGGTTAGGAGCATGGAGATTGCTGCAAAGCAGTTTTACAAGGGGAGGCACCGGGGCACAGGAGGACAAAGGCACATTCCTCAGGAAATCAATAATGAGGCTTGGAAAAACTTTTATTCGTATGCAGGCACCAGGAACATAGTATGTCCTCTAATCTGCTCCTTATTCTCACTGCCCAATAAATCCATGTCTGTACAAGTGCCTTGATTTTTCTCTACCACTGTTCCTGGAGAGAAATCCCTGGAAGCAGAGAAGCTTGGCATTTCTAAAAAGTGGGATACTGCCATCAGTGCAAACCTCTCACCTTTGCTAGAACAGCTGTAAATTTTCTGTGATTTAATTTCCTCTCTTCTGAAATGGCAATGGCAGTGCAATCAGATAAAAACGTCAACTGAGAACAAAAAGGTTATGATTTATCACACCACTTACTCTCACTTTTAAGGACTGAGCACTTGCACAGGACAGTTTGATAAGAACAAAGCAATTTCTTTAACTCAGGGAACATCTACACTGAACCTAAAAATCATGGTACAGTCTGAGCCATGCTACTAATTATGCTGCTCCCTTCTATGCGATGACATTAAGATAGAGTCCTTTGCAAATTTATATAGTCCTTCGCAAAGTTATTAAGATATAGTCCTTTGCAAAGTTATTTTAGGATTGCCACTGTTTTTTTTTCAGATCCCCTTTCCTATCCTTACATATGCATTTTGGAGAAAGGATTTGGTAGATACATTCTGGAAGAACAACATGGGCAGGGTCAGCATTAGAAAGGGTCCAGGCTGCAGCTTGCTTTCAGGGTTTGGTTAGTTGACCACTGGTAGAAATGAAGGCTAGGGGCTTACTGCGTACTGATAGTCCTAAAAATGACAGTCCTAAAGTGCAACAGTGAGCCCCAAGCTCAGAGTGGGCTGTTACACCTGCGGGGCATAGTATGGGACCATCAGGAGGCACTAGCCTGAGTCTTGAATGCAAAATAGTCATATTAGACTTATGCAGGCTCTGAATCAACTTAATAAGGCTGGCCTCACAGGAGGGCTGGGTAGCTCCAGCAGAGCTAGCTTAGTCAACCAGGCAGCTGGGCACCATGTAGCACTGCCATTGCAGACACGTCCTGGGAAGGTTCTTCTGATCACCAAACCTCTAGTCAACGTGCAACACAGGTACAACGTCATTGTCTGCACAGTTGCTACAGACAACACAGATTAGATGTTACTTTGTAGTTGGCATTCCTAAATGAATGTGTCTGGGTGTTGGTATCTGTAGCTGGGTACACATCGAAGCTCTCACGAAAGCTGGCAGACATCATAAATTGAATTCAGCTGCCCACAGGAGTGTCTACTGCCATTTGAGATGCTCTGCCCACCTGGCCTCTACCAGAAAGAGCGATGTCTTTCAGAGATCCTAGCTCGTATCTGCCAGGCTCTTGCAGATGCTTTGGATACTTCAGAGCATCTCAAGCTCAGATGTCAATAAGGGGCATCTTTGACATAAAGATTTGGCCCTTATTGACAGGTCCTAGATTCAGCTTTCCCTGCAGCAAACACTCAGAGCTTGATGCAGTTGCTTTGTGTGACATCTACGTGCAGGTGCTAGATCAGCCAGGTAGACTCAGAGGGAGGTCACTTCTGCAAGGATCTGACCATCCAGTGCAAACCAGGCTGTGCAATAATGGTGTCTTTCAGGGAGCAAGGCATAACTTCTCTTATGTGAGATGTAAGAAAATCTCTTTTTTTTCTTTTTTTTTTCCTCTGACTCGTCCAAAGGACAGATGTGATCAAACAAGTTTCTAAATGAATACATGAATACTCCCCTGCACACACTATAATCCAGCAAAGAGCACCACAAAACCACAGAACTGGTTTGTAATCTGTAGGGCTGTACAAGCACAGACAGGGAAGGCAGAAAATGACAGGAGCTATGCAGGAGGGAAAAAGCAAACAAACAAAAAATCCGAGGGAGCATGTGTTGCTCTGCCGTATAGTTCTCTGGTTTGCCATTCATTCCAGGATCATACAAAAAGACATCTCCTTTTCCCCTTGCTAGCTTTGAAGACTCTATAGCTGCTTAACAAGCTCACCTACTATTGATTTTCTTTTCGCCACCTCCACCTTTTCTGTGATTTTACACCAAAGCTGAGCAAAATTGTTTCAGCTAGCAGTACAATTTTCTACCAATGCAGTACTAGCATAAGAGAAAATATTATGCAATCAGACAGACTCTAGCAGTTAAAAAAAAAAAAGGGCAAGGGGGGGGGTCTCAGAAATGTCCAAATATTTCCTTTTGCTACTTTCAAAACACTTTTTAGCTTTTAATTTCAAAATGACATCTTTGTTTGAAAAGTGGTGCATATTTTAAAAATTAATGGATAAACAATGTGAAAACTAAACAAAAGGTGTCATTTCTAGAAGTGAAATGAGTGTAGAAGTGAGATGAATCTTAATGAAAATGAGTCCAGTAGTTTTATCTTGCTTAAAAGAATTACCGGGATCACAAAATTTATTTCAGGTTGACCCATATTTCTTTTTCCTGACAATTTTTCAGTGAAGCCTTCAAGATGACAATTCTGTTATTGCTCTCAGTTATTTATGGATTGATTATTCAGGCTGTAGGTTGACTTTGCCCAGAGTGTAGACAGAGTCTTAGTAGCTCTGCTCCTCCCTTCCCATGAGTTGAATTTCTGAGGGCATAGGACAGAAATTTGAGGATTAATATCATATACCCTCTTCTTGACTGTTGGGAAAAGCAATGCAAAAATACCCAGCCTGCCCAATACATGCTTACCTGTGCTTTTCATTAACATTCACCACCTCTTCCTCCTACTCACCTATCCCTAGAGAGCCAAGATTCGTCTCCATTCATATCTCTTGACTTTGCATTTTATGGAAATAGCATCATATTTCAAAGCTCAGCTGGAAACTTCTCTGTCCCCTATGATACTGATCTCCTGTTCTCTCTGCCCCCGTTTTTGTTTGCCACTGTATTAGATGGGCCTGATGAGTTTTGACATGCATGTCTGTGACTGAGACTAGCACAAGTCTCACCATTCACTTTAGTCAGTTGGTGGTCATGCCTTGAAACCTCTGCTTCTGACTGCAAAATGGATGGGGTTTGGGAACAATGCAGGAACACAATAAGGATGCCAATAAGGGAAGACGGAGGGGAAAGGTTACCACATCACACTCAGGTTTGGGCCAACACCACAATAGTCATAGCTACCTGGGAGAGCACGCCCTATGTTGGAAGGAGAGACATCAGAGAGGAACACGCCGTCCCCTATAACGTTGGGATCAAACGCCCGCGGCCGCAGTGGGAAATGTGGCTTCTGAAACCCTCGGTAATTGGTTGGTCTTGGCTGGGTTTCATGCAGAAGCTTCTTGGGAACTGAAAGAAAGGAGCAGGGAGAACACAGTTGTTAGAGTGAGTTATTTCAGCTGGTCAGGATGAAAATTATCACATTATACTACGGGCTCTGCTGATACTTAATTATGCCATTTGCAGACCAAACAGACACTCATTTACCACCATGATGAATGCTCTGCAAATGCCAGCACAGAGAGATGCAGTGAGACAACACTAGAAACTATAAAATGATTAAGACATTGTTTATTTATAATTAAGCTTTCAGACTAGACTAAGGGTCAGATTCAGACAGCTTATTTTAGACACCCAGCTCAGGCACTGAAATGCCGAGCAAGCCACTCTTTGGCCTCAGACCTCAGTTTCAGAGTGCTTCAGCTAGACACCTCTACCCTTAACGTGGTGGAAAGCTGGCCAGGAAGTTCCATAGGAGTCTCTTCTTTGGACCAAAGCATGCCTTAGGAAAACTGTTTCCCCTGGTTCATGTTGCAAGGCCAGCTCTTCATCTGTATGTCTTGGTAATGCAATCAAAGACAGTGCAGCTACCTCAATATACACCCACTGAAGGTGAATCCACATATTAAAAATCACCATTTTGCCCTCCAGGGACAAAGTACCATGTCATCTACTGAGCTGAACCAGTTCTCAGCTTCTGCAGTGGCCAACACCTGAGGCTATTTCAGAGCCAAGTTTTTTTCCATGCAAAGAGAGAAACCACATATACCTGCCATTCTGCTTGGATATTAGAGGAACAGAGCAACGAAAGACAAAATAAAGAAATTAAAATTTGCAGAGGAGCAAGCTGTTTGTTCCTCCACTGACTGCACACTAATATATAACACATAAAAGGATATTAAGGATATTAAAGATTACATTTATTGTGTTAACCTTGTGTTAAAGGTACAGACGGCTGAAAACTAGGCACGCATTCACAAGACATCCAAAAGCCCCAACAGAGCATTGCTGGACTGGTCAGCTCTCTTTTTTTCCTCAGGTCTCAGGGCAACTGCATCTTCTACATCCTCGTGTCTCAGTTTCCCCACCGTTACATTGCAGAGCAGACTCTCCCTCATCTCTGCTCTTCACAGGGATGTGCTGAAGCACAATTAAAGACATGAAGCATTTTCAGGTCCTTGGCATGAGCATGAAGGAGGACTTGGAGAGTGTGCAGCCCTGGAACACAGAGGAAATTCCTTCCTGCCCCCCTGCAGCTACTCAGCTGTCAAGCCGGAGCATGAGATTTAATCACACCCATTAAATCTCCCTCACGCAGCTACAGAAAGTGCTGGTAGGGGAAGAGATCCAACCGCCTTGTTTACACTGTGTTTGACTTGCTGTCTGTGCTGAGACAACGTGAATGCAGCTATATTTACGGACTGACCTTCTATAGGAGGCTGCCAAGAGAGCAGCATTGACGTTCTCGCACCGTTAGCAGAGTCGTGCTAGGTCAGGAAACAGGCACAAAAATCCTACACTCCTGAATATAAAAGAGCTGGCTTGGCAGTTTCCAGTGGAACCTGGTTTGGCAGCTATTCCTCAATGGGAAGGCAGTAAAAGAAATACAGCCCCTGCTAGAAACTAAACAAGCAAGGGGGATACCTGCACTGGAGAAATATCAGAGAGCCTGGAGAGGAGATGGGTAGCAAGCAGCTCATCCTATAAACGAGGCAGTGAGCAAACTTTTGTTTTGGGTGCTGGACTTGAGGCATCCTAAAGGGAGCCAATATTCAGAGGACAAAAGGCTCAGCATCCACAGAAAATAAAGCCCCCTTTGCTACATCTCAGGTCGGGAACCTGAAAGGCATCCCAAACACACATATCCATCTGCCTTCATGCCGTCTTCATCCAAACCATTATAAAATGCACACGGCTTCAGAGAGAGTGTCTCAAAAGTAGGCAGATATGCAATATCTTAAAAATTCTGAGAGGTCACTGTCCTCATTTTTGTAACTGAATCGTTGTAAAATCCTGGAAGCAACTTTCTCAATGTGACACAGGATGCCCACAGCACTTGCATCTTGGACTTTTTAGTTTTTAGTTTTTAAGGGACCATTTTTCTCTACAGACTTCATAAATATCTTGGGGACATATTGCAGGAAAAAGACTTATCTTGGCAAAAGGGTAACTGGAGTGACTGAATGCAGCAAGTCTGTCCTTTCTCTAGTTTATATGGTGCTTAACTAACACATAGCTTATACAGTTTGATTTAGAAGACACTAAAATGGAAAGGATTTTTCAAGTGCAAAACACCTCACAGTTTCCAGTTAGCTTCTGTGTGGCAGCCAACTCCACAAGAAAGATTAAACATTTGGTTACTTTGAAATCCCCCAAATACCCTCCTTAAATTCCCCACGGAGGCGTGCATCTAGCATAAAGCATAGCATGAACTGAAGCAAGGTGTCAAGAAGAGTTATTTATGGCCAAACCCAACAGAAAAACAAGTACCTAGGATTTAGACTTATCTCAGCATTAAGCAAAGAAATCCTGGCAGAGAATGGTTGGCACTTAGCCTGCTCCATTCAATCAAGCAGGAGGAAGGCTAAAGCAACCCAGCCAACTAAAGGAGTGATATATATGGACAGGAGGGGAAGAAATAGGGTCTTCAATCAAAATGCTAACATGTCTGACAGGCAGGAGCCCTGAGCCTTAAAATGCACCTGAGAAATTCAGGAATTTTAGGAAGAGGAGAAGTGAGTTGCTTTGGAGACCTCTGGGTACCTCCAGGTTCTTAGAGGACAACAAGAAGCATCAACACTCGGACACTTATCCCAGTGATGAAGTTCTCAGGTGATTGGGCTGCTCAGCAGAGCTGCACAGATGGAGAAGCAACTTTCCAGACTGCAAACCATGCCCAGGTTGCCCATGGAAGGGTCTAACACAGGCATCACATTGACCCCACGTGAGGATGGACTCATGGTGGAATCATTGTGCCCACACTAAGACATCTGCCCAATGCAGTCCTAGGTTGTAAACCTGCAAGGAAGCTCCTGGACCAGCGGGTTCATTCCTCCGACGTTCCTTAAAAAATCTTCATATTATCTCTCAGTGCCTGTTGTGAAAGCAGCCAGGGGGCTGTTCCCACTGCTGCTGCTCATCGGTCTGAACCACTGCCCACACTGGCAGCAATTTATATGGGTTCCCAACCCAAGACTTGTTCTACCCGTTGCATTGAATTAATAGCATCAATCCTCAATACAAACTCACCATCGCTGCTGTCAGCCTCCTCGCAACAGAAATAGGGGCAAACTAAAATCAAAGCCCAAGGGCAGTCTCACTGGCAGTGCAGACCCATCAGATTGGGGTGCAAGCAACTGGCAGGAGAACATGAAGGCACATACGCTGTTGCTGCTGACAGTATCCTTATTTGCACATGACAGAGACTCCTTCTGCGGGGATTTCCACACAAGCACTCTCTTGTGTGGCCAAAAAATGGAAGCTTGATGAACAGAAATAGCTACTGTTCCTACAAGCAGCAAAATTCTCAATCCCAGCGCTAAGGAACGGAAACGGCCGCCGACACCTCACCTCTTTGCTACACGAGATCGTTCCCCGTAGGCTTTCTGCTATTTGGACCTGTCTCGTTTTAAACACTCCAGTCCTGGGAATTCAGCTCCTTGCCACAAGAGGTTATTTTGCAGTGGAATATTGCTCTTTCTCAGGAACCCTACTCCACTACACTGCTGAGCATTTCAGGCTAAGTGCATATATTTTTCCCCTCACCAAAACATTTGAATTCTAGCCCCCAAGTTTTACAGATGGGGAACTGGCTTCTGGACAGAGTTTTGAAAGTGTTTAAATATCAAAGTGATTTGTCCAAACTCCCAGAGGGAAACTGCGCCAAAGAAAGGAAACAAACTCAGGCTCCCTATATTTCAGCCTTGCACACGCCAACCGTCTGCTCTTTTTTGCTAATTCCGTCACTTGTTATTTCCTGGTGCTTGTTCAGTCCTAAACATGTTTAAAGACTTCCACCCCCAGCACCCAATTATTCCCCGACCTCCCCTTTCACTGTATAAACAGATCGGTCCAGGGGCGGAAAGAACAACGAAAGCTCCCGCTCAAAAACACGCAGACAGGGGGGCTGCCATCCTTCAGCCCTCTGCTAGATATTCACTTGTGCATTCCCAGCCACAAGGTTTACTCTGACAGCTCGCTGCAGTTAACACCAGGACCTTCAGCAAAGCCCACTGCGAATGCTCAAAGCAGGGAGCAATTTGAACAAAACGTGATTCTTGCAGCAATGGAAATTACAACGAAGCCTTTTATCTGGGCAGGTTGGGGCCAGGCACTGTTGATGCTCAACATATATTTTTACGTAAAATATAACCTCGAAAGTGAGTAAATACCCAGTATAAACTACTGCAGGTTTTCCGTGGTGGCAGCTCTTAAAGATTTCTGTTCAAGCCTTGAACAGAATTCAGCCAGAAATGGGATCACTTGTGTTTCAGAACTGTTACAAGAAAGCAAGTCTTCAGTACACATGTCAGATGTATGACTTTCTAAGATTACAGAACTCAAAGTGTTTTCATGCGCTATAAAACCAAAATTCACTACACAATCATTCAACAATAGCTGTTAAAATAATGGATTTTGGCTGAATCAGACTACAAAACATCACAATATAATCACAGAGAGCAAAGGAAAAGTCAGGCATGTAATAACCCTGTGCCTGCTAACAACAGTAATGCCACCGTTGCTCTTCAGTCAGGTATTTGTTTAATTATTTGACAGGACAGCATCATAGTCTACAGCTCTCAAATACCTCCAAGAGAGGTTTGCTGGCCTGGACATCCCCGTAAAAAAGGCTGAGTTCACTGAACATCCACATCATCCTGTGGCTGGGAAGCCACAATCTCCCTCTAAAGATCCTAGACCATGGAAGTAAGAATTAAAGTACAGCTTACAGGCAAAATGTTCCAGGAGGCGGCAGGAGAGATGAAGAGACTTTGTTCAGCCAAATATAAGTCCCAGAGAAAGAATTTGATGAAAACACTGGCATGCATAAACCTTCACTCCCACAAAAA